CCCCCACGCGGCTGCTCTGGCAATGACAAATCTATATCTGCAATTAGTGTTTGCTTTTCATGATAGCCCGCTAGATTTTTGAGATCAAAAATGACAACACGCTCACGATGAGCCCGCGATATTTGATAAACTTCAGACTGTGCTAATGCTTCTCTAATGCTTTCCTTTATTCGGGTGTAAATACCCGTGCGAAATTAGTACCCTCGCACCGGGCTTACACCAGAGATTAAATGTTCTATCTAATAATGAAGAAGTCATTGGATTTGTTAAGTTATTCTTGTTATCCGAGATATTGAACATCGAGAGATGGCTAGAACGGCGAAAGCCGCCGTGATAAACAACACAAAAGCTTGCTAAAAGACAATTGTTACGATGTGTGATCGTTCATATGCACGGTGTCTCAGAATAAACGAAACACAAATTAATTAAAAGACTATTACTGATTGTATGTTCAGTTTAATGATTTTATTTTCAGATAGTAATGATATTTATTTTTACTTTACTTTTGTTTTCGGTTTTAAATAATTGAAACTAAAACTTACCGCTCAACATGGGGTAGCCGGGCAATCACGCTGCTTCCATTTAAATTCCAAATAGATCAAATATGGTGGATCGTTCATTTTCACGGTGTTTCAAAATAAACGAAGCAAAAATTAAAAGGCTATTACTCATTGTATCTTGTGTTTAATGATTTTATCTTCAGATAGTAATGATATTTACTTTCATTTTCACCTTCATATCAACAAAATGAAAAACTATCATGCTACCACCTTTTAATTTAAAGACTTTTGCTTCTCCACCTACGCAACGTAGTTATAAAATATAACAAAATAGTTATCAGTGAAGAATTCCAACCAAAGTGTATTATTTTTATCGTCATATATTCTTATAAGGACAGTCAATTATAAGGATAGCCACATTAAGGTTGGTGCATTAACTGAAACAATTAAAGCAAGGTGAGTCTGTCGTATTCAATTTTAAAATCTATATATAGATTTATACTCGAGTACATAGCCAGAAATTGCTGTTGACGCTGAGAACAAGGTTCCTGACGCTGAAGACAAGGTTCCTGACGCTGAAGACAAGGTTCCTGACGCTGAGGACAAGGTTCCTCAAGCTGAGTACAAGGTTCTTCACGCTGAGGACAAAGCTCCTCACGCTGGGAACAAGGTTCCTCACGCTGAGGACAAGGTTCTTCAAGCTGAGGACAAGGTTCTTCAAGCTGAGGACAAGTTTCCTCAAGCTGAGGACAAGGTTGCTCACGCTGAGGACAAGGTTGCTCACGCTGAGGACAAGGTTCCTCACGCTGAGGACAAGGTTCCTCACGCTGAGGACAAGGGTCTTCACGCTGAGGACAAGGTTCCTGGCGCTGAGGACAAGGTTCCTCACGCTGAGGACATGGTTTCTCACGCTGAGGACAAGGTTCCTCACGCTGAAGACAAGGTTCCTCAAGCTGAGGACAAGGTTCTTCACGCTGAGGACAAGGTTCCGCACGCTGAGGACAAGGTTCGTCACACTGAGGACAAGGTTCCTGGCGCTGAGGACAAGGTTCCTCACGCTGAGGACAAGGTTCTTCACGCTGAGGACAAGGTTCCTCACGCTGAGGACAAGGTTCCTCACGCTGAGGAAAAGGTTTCTGAAGCTGAGCACAAGGTTCCTCACGCTGAGGACATTCCGCAAGGTTCCTCACGCTGAGGATTCCGACGAGACAGCACGACAAGATGGCGGCCGAATTTATAGCTCATGGAAAAGTTTTATTGTTTTATTGTTTTATTAAAATTATTTAAACACGGTAGCCATTCAGCATTCGCTGGTTTTCAATGGGCCGTGTACACAATAATAATTTACAATAATAATTATGAAGCCTAACTACTCATCAGCTTCACACTACTCAGTCACTAATACAACAAGGTATACTAATTATCTTTACTAGTACAATAATACTTAATTATTACAGCATATAAAGTACATGTACGTACACGGGGTACTCGTCAATCGCTATAGTCGTTACCATAGTGATTGATGAGCAATGTCTTTAATACATTCGCTGTTTTATTACCGATGTTTTGCGTTAAAGTTAAGGGAAGGCTGTTCCACGATTTTGCCGCTCTATAGGAAAAGCTTTTCTTAAGAAAATTTGTGCTAGGTTTTGCTAATGACAGTTGGTCAAAATTACTTCTCAAATTATATGTTTCATTCGAGCAACGATTAAATATTTTAGTAAGATATGGAGGCGAATTTTCAATTAATGCCTTGAAAGTAGGTATGTTCTCTCGAGTTTGTAAATATGTGTTCATTGGTAACCAGTTAAGTTTTTGAAATGCTTCGTTAGATCGAATATCATAGGAATCAGCGGTAATTACGCGTGCCGCTTTCTTTTGAAGTTTAGACATTTTAGTTAATTTGTTTTTACTTCCGTCGTACCACACAGTCGAACAATAGTAAAAATTAGGAATTATAAAAGCGTTATACATTTTCTCCAGAACATGTTTGGGAACGAAAGGCTTAGCTCTTCTTAGCAGAGCAATGTTCTTTGAAATTGTTTTACTTTGTTCCTCGTTAAGTTTGTCCCACTTAAGTTGTTCATCTAAGATAACACCAAGTGTCTTTTTATGTGGTACACGCTTAATTACTTTGTCACCAAGGGACCATGTTCGAAAGATGGCACTCGTTGCCTTGAGCCTATTATTATAAATTCCGTTTTAATTTGCCCTCATTTAAGGTTAGTTTGTTTGCAACAAGCCATTGATCCACATTTACAAGGTCATGATTTAGTTTTGTTTCAATTTCATCTACGGTTGATCCTGTTGCTGAAAGAGTTGTATCGTCAGCAAATAATCTAGCCTTAGTTGTTTCAAGGCAGTTAGGCAAATAATTAATGTACAAAAGGAACAAGAAGGGGCGAAGATTTGATCCCTGTGGGACCCCGCAGTAAATTTCTTTCTCATCAGAAAGTTACCATTAATTGCACAGACCTGTTTTCTATTCGTAAAATAAGATCTGAACCAATCTAAACTGTGCCCTCTTATTCCATACAGCTCTAACTTAGAAAGTAATATTTTGTGATTAACCGTGGCGAATGCCTTTTTTAGATCCAGGAACAATACCTCGTTAATTAGACCTTTATCCATGTTGCCAAGCCATTCACTTGTTGAATCTAATAGTGTCGTTTCAGTAGAGTGATACTGACGGAACCCAGACTGATCGTCTATAATGATGTCATTTTCCTTCATAAAGTATCTTAATTGACTACATACTAGTTTTTCGAATATTTTGGCAACAATAGATATTACAGAAATTGGTCGATAATTGCCACATTCTGTTTTCGAGCCATCCTTATAAATTGGCGTTACCCTAGCTAATTTCCAGTCGTCAGGAAACATTCCAGATTGCAATGATAAGTTGAAAATGCTAACCAATGACTCACTAAAGTTTATTGTATCTCCAGCGTCTTTCAATAGCTTGGCACTTATGCCGTCAATCCCAGGTGATTTTTTTATCTTAATTTGAGCTATTGTTTTCGTCAATTCTAGAGCACTAATATTTTGAAAGTAAAATGTATTCGCAACAGGTGGTACGAAGCGCAATGGATCGGAATCTATACCGGTCACATTACTAGCAAGTTTTGATCCTATTGTAGAAAAATAATCATTGAAGCAAGAAGCAATATTTTCATTTCCTTTGACAGATCGATTTTCAATTTGTAACTCAGGAATTTCTGTAGTCTTAGATCTTTTATTTAGCAAGCTGTTAATTGCCTGCCAACTGTCATAACTGTTTTTTGCATTACCAAGCTTGGTTTTAAAGTAGTCTTCCTTAGTGGTTTTTATTAGTTTGTTAACATAATTCTTATGCCTTTTATAAGCAGCATCATATGCTGCAGATCTAAATTTAACAGCTTGTTTTTTAAGGAAATCTCTCTGGTAGGATAATTTCTTAATTTGGTTTGTAAGCCATGGTTTATAATCACTTTTAACCCGGCGTTGTCGCATTGGCGCATGTTTTTCTGCAATAGTTAAGAACTTTGTTTTCAATCATGCCACAAGATGTTCGGATCATCCGTTATAATATTCGTGTTAATATTATTTCTTAGATCTTCCTTAAATTGATTAACATTAAAATTTTTAAACTGCCTACTGAATATAATTTTCGGCGTTTCTTTCGGGATACTGACTTTGCGGCACAAGTAAACTAAATGATGGTCGACGTCACTGATACCTAGTTCTACTACTCCAGAATCTGTTATCTTGTTATCTTGTACTATAATGAATCGGAAAAGATGCGTAGGAAAGGACATTAGATCCCTTTCATTCGAATTTTTTACGACTTGAATCTATAACATTCATTTCAGGTGAAAATTAAACCACTCTAATTCTTATTGGTCAATTCATGTCATTGAAAAGGTAGTTGCACCCCTATCAAACGAGCCGTTTGCATCACTACAATGAAGAAGAAAACCGTCGAGCATCCGAAGAAAATCTATGGTGTTTGGAAGAGTCAAACAGGAAGTACCCTTTTCGTACACAATCTCGGTCGCAGAGTAAAATACACATGCAGTAAATTGCCATAAACGTCTTCCTTAACAGTAAATGGTTTAAGATTTATGTGAAGTGAAGCGAAGCGCAAGTATAAAACGAATCAATTGTACAAGTTCAACAAAAAATTGAAAGTTCAGCAAGAGAGTTTTAGATCAGTGCATTTTCTGCTTTTGTTTAATTAAAGTAAGTGAATTCTAGACTCGTTTGTATTTACAAAACGAGCTGCCATTTTGGGATTTTTTTCAAATCATAAATTTCACTCCTGGTGAGTGCAATAGACCTTATGCATATAATGACGTCAGAAGGCTTGATGCGCGCGAGGAATGCTGATCTTAGTAGTCATGGCCCGGGAAAATTTCGATTGTGGCTATTTTGAATTTTTTAACTTTCCCGGGCGTTGACTACTAAGACCAGCATTCCTAGCAGTCATCAAGCTATGTGACGTCATTATGCATAAGGTCTATTAATGAAAAATTGCACTTCTCTTAACCAATCAGATTGCAGTAATTTTGTCACGTATATAATAAAAATGTCAACCGTCGGAGTGTCCATTGTTATGTATAGAAAACCTACCCAGTTCATGAGGCAGTTCTTCACAACAAATAGCAAGTGATGTACTCAGACCAGATAAGACGGAAGTACTGCAAGATACACCAATGGCTATACCATCGACAAAGTTGTGGAGTCCATCGCCTATAATGATCATCCATGCTACTGTAGCGATCTTTTTCTTCTCCGGCCCAGGGGTGGTAAGATCAAGATTATTTGGTTTCTTCTCGTCTGCTATTTCAGGAAACGTTTCTGGTGCTTCGAACATGTAGTGACTATGCCCATGACCATCGTTTGCATGTGGGTTTACCTTTGTTTCATTCGTATTTGAGTCAGCTGACTATCAATATAAGTAAATATTTCAGAACAAGCTTAATCAAGCCCCAAAGAACACACGTGAGTCCATCAGTGATAGCTAGTGGATCACTCTTACTATATGCCGGATTAAGATATTACATTATAATATTATGCAGTTGTTCACTGTACTTGAGCACAGTCGAATGATGTTTCTATAACTGAAGGAGCAATCACAAGTTTACACGTTTATACGAATTCCCGGTCACACTGATAGCGCTAATCCTCCCCAGGGTAGAACGTTTTACATTCGTTTGAACGAAGTGAATTAAAATGTAAATTATATCACGCACATATATACTGCAGTATTTCAATCTTAGGTACGTCATGTCAGTCAATGCCAACGTCGAATTTTCATGTGCCGACCTAAGCTGATAAATGCGAACGAGCTCGAACAATGAGTTTAGGTCATTTACATTAGCCAGTTTGGCCTCAGATTCCCATTAATATAATTAGTACGACTTCTATAATTAGTATGCTCAGGAAAATTTAATCAGAAAAATTTTAATATACTTTTTAAAGTATATGTAAGATGCAAAAGGACATACTTTATTAAGACTAGTGTATTCTCCGAAGTAATATTCAACACACCGAACACTTACATTGAGAGTTTTAAGATGGAGGTACATTTTCATAGTGCATTCCAAAAGAAAGAACATGTATATTCCCACTGCAACCATAACCAACTTCCACATATGGCTCAAGTCCTTGGTGCCCAGTTTCAATGCCTGAAAAGAAAAAAATCTGTATAATCTATGCCAACATGGCTAATACAGAGAAATAGCCGTAAGATTAACACGCCATAATTATGTGACTCAGATAACTTGTAGTATATTCAGAGCACAAGCTCGCGCGTATATTTATAAAATTCCTATCAGTGCATCCCAACCACTTTAATTGATTAAACTCCTCATTTAGTTAAATTTGAAAATTTCAATTCGTTTTGTTCAGCAAAACATTGCCGTGATAAATTTTTTAAACCATTTTATTATTTTTGTATTTGATCCTTAATTTAATACCTCTTCTTAGAAGCTTCCAAAATATTTATCAGTTATTCACTGAGATCGAGGGATACAGTATGTTTTGTGGACCCGAGACCGCCGTTGTTGCCTGAGGCATAGCCGAGGTACCAAAGTACGAAAACTAGATAAATGGAACGCCGTAAATGTTAGCCCGAAAACAGACCTACGTTTCGCCCGCCCTAAAATTCGTAGGTCGACGGAAAGGGCGAAACCCACCCCTAAGCATCCCACCCGCAAATTTTAGGGCGAGCAAAACGAAGGTCTGTTTTAAGGCTACGTAAATGTTGAATAAAAAAAGTTTAATAAAATGAACTTTGGAACTGCAAGGTTGACGCGCATGAGCACTGCAACCCATTGTATTGTGGAGAGTTCAATAAATGTTCTATTTTGGACTGCATGGTTGCCTCGTTGCCAGGGTAATGCAGTAAACATGACGTTTTGCGGACCGGCACGTGATACGCTTTTGTTCAATCGAAAAACAGAAAAATTGAACATTGACACTAACTATATAACAAAAATAAACCAAGGTCTTCCTATTGACGGGGCGATAGCGAGGTCAATACAGCAAGACCGAGGTTTGATATTTTCAACGGTCGAGGTCCAACCAAATCGCTATGTATAAGACTATATTGGGATTGATTTAACTCACAGAAGCTGGCGGCTAAATAGAGGATGGGGCTTTCTTTTCAACACTCTCTGGACTAGGGAGTCATATATTAGCATGGGAGGACAAATAGGGGAAATACTGTAGTCTAGCGCTTTGGTGTTTCAAAAACGCTATTTCCCACGTAATAACAAGGTTTAGTTGTTTTACTGCCATCCAGGGGGGGGGGGTACTGGCGTACCTGCAGGGGGAAACTAGTGTACCTGCGGTAAAGTCAAACTGAAAGTACTCTCCTCACACGAGACTGAGACAAAATTCTAATTATATAAACTGCATATTGCAGGAATCGAATCCCAGTCACAAACGGGGAATGCAGACGCAGTAACCACGGTTCTACCTGTCTATCTTTGTAAATATAAAGCTTACATGTGGAATAAGATGAAAAATGCCGCCGCCGCTGAGTACACCAACAGCAAGAGAAACCATGGCCATTAGAACGGTTTGAAATATCTTTTTCTGCATGAATGGAACCAGAATTGCACCCAGTAGTGAAAGAAGGCTGATAACTGTCACAAACAGGAAACCAAAGCCCCAGGCTGGAGAATGGAACCAACAGAAAATTATGAAACCAACAGAAAATTCATTATTAATTCAGGTATCCTGTTGAGATCTGGTCACTACATTGGAATAACCTACACAAATCATTATACTTGGTTGAAATTGTTTGTATCGTATCGTATCAAGGAACAGCTATGCAATGACTTGGACATCCACAAAGATCCTCCTGTACATGCATATACGTACAAGAAAAAGTCGGGTAAATTCTGTCCAAATTTTTTCCCTAGAGACAGACACTCTCCAACAACGCAAATACTTTAACAAACTAGAAATACATGCACGCAGCAACCCCTCGCCTTTCTTAACCGATAAAGTAAAGAAATTCCACATGAAGTATTCCCATGCATGTTTAAAATATAATAGTAGTCGCTATGGTAACGTGAAAATAATATGAGAAAATAATATGAGAAAATAATTATCATTTATAGACCTGGAGCGAGGGTAATATTTCGACGAATCGCCCGAGCGGAGGGTCTATAAATGATATATTATACCGAAAGATAAAGAACCAACTAAGTTGAGCCAATAAACTTGCTGAATAACTAAGCGAATACAATGTTTAATTTCTTATTTGTACCTAAGTTTTTTAAGTTTTCTCTTTATAATATTTGAGTCTGTATTTTTTGAATCATTGAAGTTAATATATCTCTTGAAAATCTTTAGTTAAATCAATCGATCTTTTGTACGAAATCACAAACAACAGCTCACGAACGTGCGTCACGCGTGAGATACTATAATTATAACAGTAAAATATTCACACTAATACCCACCCAAAAAAGATAAAAAGTAATTCAAGAGTTTTTATTTCTTTCATTCCAAACTTTAACAGCAGCATAACCGAAAGTACGTTTCATTGAATTTGTATTTGGCTTCGACAACATCAGCTTATTATTATTGCTTCTTAATTCATGTCTTACAGAGCTGGATAATTAAAATATATCCGAAATGTTCTAAGGGCATTGGCATGTAATAGCTTTTGATACATATTTTAGTTGTTGTTCTTTCCTTCTTTAACTTAACATTTTCCATTCTTTAAAATATCAATCGAGCATATTTCATATGGGTCGCCAGGAATAATTAGTTCTTGCAGGTCGGTTTTAAACTTTGAAGCTTCTGTAGCTTACCTCCTAACTATTCACCACAGTTACCCCAAACCATTAAGCAAATCAAAGTAATAAATTTACGTGGTGTTTCCACAAACAAAGGGTCATCATCTACCTAATGCTCATAGTTGGTTGATTATAACAATAAAAGACAATAAAACAATAGAAATCGTCTTTCTAAAGAACACGAGTCACGAACAATGA